GAATGCAAGTCGACGAGTCAACAGGTAAAGAACGCTTGCATTTGTCGCAGACGCACATGTTAGTTCCGACCCATGCGAGGACGACGTTGGTTCTGCTATTCCGGTCGCGGTCAGCCTGCTTGGTGGCGGCGTCGCGATGCTCTTTCTCTTCGGGAGGCCTCTGCGAGAGGGCCTGACGCGAGGCATTCCAGACCTGGTCAACGTCCTCGCGTTCGGTCGGTAGCTCCACCTCCATGACCTCCTTGCCGCTGGCGTCCTTGAGCTTCTTGGCACCGCCGAGGTCTTTCACGGCGCCGTTATCACCTTTGGTACCCCTAGAGAAGCTATTAATGTGAAATTCGAGCTACGAAACGAGTTGATATACCATGTAACGTCGTGCAAATTGCACATGGCATACATCACTGTCGCAGGAGTCAGTGGAAATTCGAGGCGTGAGTACATTACTCACTGAGAATGTTGATATCTAAGAGAAATCAGAATCAGCAGGCTAAAGCATGGCGCGAAAGCGGCTACTTACAGCTTGGTTGAAGGAACAAGTATTGAACGAAGGATGTTAGCATGTGCCAGGGTTCTCCGTGAAGGATGGATCCAATAAGGTAAAGACCATAGGTGGCAACCATGGAAATGACGATGTCGCGGAACGTTGCATTTGTCTGGATGAGGCTGGAGCGAGTTATCAGTCAGATATCAGCAACGACATCGGAGTGACGCATACTGAGGCAAATCCTCCCAGCCTGCAATAGTGTGGGGGACAGCGAGATAGACGGTGTAACCAGCACACCAGAGTGTGATGACGGCACATAAGCCGAACAAGATCATGGCCAATGAGTAGGTCCATTTCGAACCTTGAGGGCGATTACCGAGGGAACAAACTGTGACGACAAAGAGGAGCGCAATGTACAGCTGTGGAGAGCTATATCAGGAAACATTGAGCAGTGCGCGTATCAAGTGCGTCACCTTCAGGAACACTTCGAAGATTATGGCACCAGCACCATTATGAATCAGGTTGAAGGCGTCTGTCGAGCCGGTAGACGTGGCGGATGAGACGAGCTGTCCAAAAGTTGCATGAGTGAGGATCGCCGGACCCAGGTACGAAAACATACGAAGAAGAAGGCAAGGTAGAAGTTGGCGAGCGATGTCCATGTGAACAGCAGCTGGACTGCATTGTAGATGAACTCGATCTGTACGGGAACATGTATCAGTTAGATGATGACACGGAAGAGGGTGGGCATACTTGAAGTAGCAACATGCGGAAGATATTCTGGCCAGAAGTCCATATACGCCAGAAGAAGATCGTCGCATGGATGGATGCGAACAAAGAGCCGTTCAACCATCTACGACGTTGGGAGATAAACTCCGGAACCTGTCCAAAGATAAGTGCTATTAATGTTGTATCACACTGCAGGGTCGATGTCCACTCACAGTGGTAGGAACGTCGGTGGATGCTTTGGCACTCTTCACGTAGCGCAGCCTATTCGTGGACCATGATCAGCCTCAGCTACTATGGAATATGAAAGATCGTACACCCAAGCTTCGCGCTTCTTCGTGACAATCTCGAAACAGAGAATACGATCTTCAGCGAGGTACATGTTACGTTCTATGAGCCGCAGTGAGCACACATTTCAACAGCGATTTTCGCTATGACGTACCGAATAAGCCAGCCTTGCTAGAGCCCCCGTGCATTTCCTCACCCTTGAAGTATGATGCTAAGGGTCCTTTGCCGTCGGGCCCGTTGAGCAGTGCTTTGTAGCGATACGCACTGAAGGCACCGGGAAGCACACTGATATAGCCAAAAACACTCTAAGATGTATGTTTGAATCGATGTTAATAATAAATGAAAGAGATAACGATACCTCGAGTGGCTTATCCAATATGTTCGACATTTTATACTGAATCCGTCCCGTCAGCCCCATACCTTTAGATGCGTGCCGAGCATTAACAGACAGACCTCAAAATTCTGCGAAGCAGCCAATGGACTTGTGAGGAGAAGTGAACATGCTTTTCCTGTGTCAACGCAAATCCTAGCCAGGTATAAGATAAAAGAACCATCGATGATTATGTGTACGTACTCTCCGCAGGCACCGCCGACGTTCTTGTGCTTGTCGAAGCCTAAGATATCCCGGGTTAAATACGGAAACGGATGACGTATAAATG